TTAGCCAGTACCTGCTGCGAGTGTTATGTATAGTTGCCCCCTGTAATTTACAGCTGTCCCCGGGTGATTCCAGAATTAAAATCCTTTAGGAATTGAAAGCAGCCGAACAGATTCGTCAAATCTGAAGCTGCGGTGGTTCCCCCCATAATGTAAATATTAGTATTTTGTCTAACGAGGCAAACCAAAGTTTCTAGAACCATATGAAATAAGAGAGGATGGGAAGGGCATTCTTGACGGTTCTGTGATATATTGTAACTCAGAGGTCCCCAACCTTTTGGGCACCAGGGACCGGTTACTTGGAGAGAGGATTTTCCGCGGACCGGAGGGGGCGTGGTTTTGTGTGCTGCCTGCATCCCGCGGATGGGGCTTTGCTTGTTTGTGCGGCCCGGTTGCTGGCATGCCGCGGCCCCGGTACCAATCCACGGACCGGGGGTTGGGGACCCCTGTCTTAACTGATGGAGAAGTCTGGGTAAGTCCTCGATTTGCGAGCACAATGGAGCCCAAAATTTCTGTCGTAAAGTGGGTCATTTGTTAAGTGAATTTATACCCGTTTTGAGGATCGAGCATCCTGTTCTGGTTGTCTGTCAAAGCAGCCGCCGCCAAAAAGGCTAACACAATCCTGGGTTGCATAAACAGAGGCATAGAATCAAGATCACGCGACGTGTCAGTACCGCTTTATAAAACCCTAGTGAGGCCACACCCGGCATACTGCAGCCAATTTTGGTCACCGTATCACAAAAAAGATGTTGAGAGTTTGGAAAAAAATCCAGAGAAGAGGAAATAAGATGATCTAAGGGTTAGGGTTAAAACATACGAAGAACGGCTGCAGGACTTGGGTTTGGCTAGTCTAAAGAAAAGAAGAAACGGGGGAGACGTGATAGCAGTGTTTCAGTATCTGAGAGCCTGCCACAAAGAAGAGGGTCAAATTATTCTCCAAAGCACCTGAAGGAGGGACAAGATGCAATGGATGGAAGCTGATCAAAGAGAGAAGCCACCTGGAATTAAGGAGAAATGTAGCCATCTGGTTTGGTGGGATCACCTCATGTAGTCCCATCGAGGGTTGTAAATCTAGGTTGGCTCCAAACAGGCCTACTGCAGATTGCCCACCCAGATTGCCTGAGCTTTTTATTGTGAGGGATCGCAGGAATGCTCCCCAATTATCTTGGGGGAAAGCTTCTGGGAGTTGAAGTCCACAAGTCATCAAAGGGCCGAGTTTGAAGACCCCTGCTTGTGGACTTCAACTTCCAGAATTCCTCAGCCAGGCACGCTGGCTGAGGAATTCTGGGAGTGGAAGTCCACGAGTCATCAAAGGGCCGAGTTTGAAGACCCCTGCTTGTGGACTTCAACTCCCAGAATTCCTCAGCCAGGCACGCTGGCTGAGGAATTCTGGGAGTGGAAGTCCACGAGTCATCAAAGGGCCGAGTTTGAAGACCCCTGCTTGTGGACTTCAACTCCCAGAATTCCTCAGCCAGGCACGCTGGCTGAGGAACTCTGGGAGTTGAAGTCCACGAGTCATCAAAGGGCCAAGTTTGAAGACCCCTGTGTTAACTGGTGCCCCTAAACCGTTCTGCGTTCTTTTGAACACATTGTCATTGACCTCCAGTCCTAAACAGGAGCCATTGCAACATTACATTCCTTTTTTTAAAATATATGTATATGCAGTATTCAACCAGTTGTGGGGTTATTAAAGTTGAAGTCCCAAGTACAAGGGGTTTTTTAGGCTGTGGGTTTAATCTCAGCTGAGCTCTGTCACAAATAGGCCTTTTGTGCGAAAAAGTACGTTCCGTGGTGCTTAGCAGTAGGCAGATTGGAAGACGGCACATTTGACATGTTTCGACCATTAAGAAAGAGCTGGGTTTTTAAAGGGGTTTTATTTTATTGTTCATGGATTGAGATTATGACTTTAATAGTCTCATACATTAATCTCTTTACTTTACTTTACTTTACTTCTCTTTCCTTTTCTCTTTTCTCTTTTTTCTCTTTTCTCTTTTCTCTTTTCTTTTATCCTCTTCTTTCCTTTCCTTTACTCCTCTTTCCTTTTCTCTTTTCTCTCTTTTTTCTTTTATCCTCTTCTTTTCTTTTCTTTTCTTTACTTTACTACTCTCTTTCCTTTTCTCTTTTCTCTCTTTTCTCTTTTCTTTTATCCTCTTTTTTCCTTTCCTTTCCTTTACTCCTCTCTTTCCTTTTTCTTTTTTCTTTTCTCTCTTTTCTCTTTTCTTTTATCCTCTTTTTTCCTTTCCTTTCCTTTCCTTTCCTTTCCTTTCCTTTCCTTTCCTTTACTCCTCTCTTTCCTCTTTCCTCTTTCCTCTTTTCTCTTATTTTTTTCTTTTATCCTCTTTTTTCCTCTCCTCCCCTCTCCTCCCCTCCCCTCCCCTCCATCTTGCTCCTTTCCTCTCCTCCATTCATACAAAAGGAAACGTGTTCTGTCTTTATATGGAGGATCATTTTAGAGCTGCTGTTCATGCAATTACTGTACTCGCCTGATCCTTTGGATTAAAGCCCTAGCCTTCATCATAGTGGGAGCCCCTGGCTTGATCTGTACAAGGCATACACTTAACCTAGGAAAGAATGTTTTCTTAAAAGCATTAAATAAAAGGTAAACCTAAGAAAGACCAGGCTTCAAATGCTGAGGCGCTTGGACTTTTTTTTGCCAGTTCTGTTCGTAAACGCAACCACTACTGCTTAACTCACACCACACCAATAACTCACTCTGCAGTGTGGCCTCAGGAGATGAGTCAGGACGAAAGCAACTGATAACAACTCAAGTATTTTATGGTTCTCCAGCAATTGCTAGTAAAGAAGTTGTTGACGGTAGGCAAGTGTAATACAAATTCTACTGACGCAGTTGCGGTGAATTACTTTTTATAATTAAGAAATTCCTTTTTGTAGCAGGTTGCCAACATTTATTGCTCACGGGGCTGTCCATATTTATTACCGGTTGGTCGTCCTTGCAAGTATAACAGTTGTCCCTTTGTGGGATTTACAAATTATTATTTTAACACTAGGCTGTTAAAGTTTAATTTGTTTTGCAACTTGAGCCACAGTTACAGTGTAATTCCTGGTTCATATAACAATACCGTTTCTACTACAAGTAGTCCTTGACTTACAACCGTTCGTTTAATGGTCATTCAAAGTTACAACGGCTCTGAAAAAAAAGTGATTTAGGACCAGAGTTTGCACTTATGACCGTAGCAGCGTCCCCTTGGTCAGGTGATCAAAATTCAAATGCTTGGCAACTGACTCGTGTTTATGATGTTCCCAGTGTCATGTGATCCTCTTTCGATGAGCAAAGTCAATGGGGGAAGCCAGATTCACTTAGCAACCTCATGATTCACTTAAGAGCGTTAGTGATTAGCTTAACAACCATGGCAAAATGGTGGTAAAAAGGGGCACGATTCACTTAACTGTTTTGCTCAGCATTGGAAATTTGGGGCTCAGTTGTGGCCAGCCGTGTGCTGCAGCTGCCAAAAAAGCCAACACAGTGCTGGGCTGCATTAACAGAGGGAGAGAATCAAGATCACGTGAAGTGATCACACTTGGAGTACTGCACCCAGTTTTGGTCACCACGATGTAAAAAAGATGTTGAGACTCTGGAAAGAGTGCAGAGAAGAGCAACAAAGATGAGGGGACTGGAGGCTAGACTGGATAGTAGATAGATAGATAGATAGATAGATAGATAGATAGATAGATGGATGGATGGACGGACGGACGGACGGACGGACGGACGGACGGACGGACGGACGGACGGACGGACGGATAGTAGATAGATGTAGATACATAGATGATAGATAGATAGATAGATAGATAGATAGATAGATAGACAGACAGACAGACAGACAGACAGGGAGGGAGGGAGAGAGGGAGGGAGGGATGGATGGATAGTAGATAGATATAGATACATAGATGATAGATAGATAGATAGATAGATAGATAGATAGATAGATAGATAGATAGATGATACATAGCTAAAGATAGACAGGCAGACATAGATAGATAGATAGATAGATAGATAGATAGATAGATAGATAGATAGATAGATAGATAGATAGAAAAAAGAAATATATATATATAAAAAAGAAAAAAAACACATACATTTTGAGTTCTGGCATAAATGTGACATAAGGTGGACGTTATTTTTTTTCCTTGTATTTTTTAATTTTATTCAAAAGAAAGTTTTATTTATTTATTATTTATTTATTATTCCTATTTGTATCCCGCCCTTCTCCCGAAGGACTCAGTTAAAATACGAAACTCCAATTAAAAAAAAAAAAAAACAACCCCCCCCCCCCCCCCAGAAGAAAACACAAAACAATCAAGACATTTTTAAAAAGTGCATCAAAAAGAGAGAAAAAAAACCTCTCAACACATCCAGGTTATCCTTCCTTAATTGAATATTGACTAATACTTTACTACAGTGTTGGTTCTCACCCTTCTCGGAGTGCTTGATTATTCGTTGAACTTCTGTTGCACAAAATATTCTATCATTTCCTTTTTATATATATGGTTCACCTTAACAAATAATGTTGTGTATGTTTTTGTGGCTTAGAGTTACAGTTGATAAAACCAAGTGCTAGCAGTTCCATAAAAATTCTTCTCTATTCTTAGGCGTTACTATATTACACGACTGCATTCCTGTTTAAAGCTCAGCAGATGAAAAAAAGAACGAGTGTCAGAAAATTGTGTATATTCCTGTGTCTTAAATCTTACTCTCATTTGGCTCCCAGTTACATGATCAATTTTTAATCAGCAGTAGCTCCAATAATTTTTCTGAACGCAGTAAAGAAATTGAAAAGCTCATCCTAAAGTGCTTCCCCCCCTGTATTAGCTTGTCCTTAATTTTGAAAATAAATGGTTCGTGGTGTGTATGTGAGAAAGCCATTATAGTTTATGTAAAGAAAAAAGTTAACAAAGGAAAGGAGAGAGAAATATTCCTTTGTAGTAGAGATGAAGTGGAGCCGTTAAAGAAGTAACAGCTCAGAACATTTTAATTACAGAGATTGAGGAGGTTATCAACAAAATATAGAACAGAAAAGATCTACCCAACCATCACTGGAGAAAAGGAAGAAAATGTGAAAAAGAACAGATATAAAGATATACTGCCATGTAAGTCGCAATCTCTTCTTTTTAATAATGTTTTTAATCTGATTAACATTTACAGTCTTACACATAAGATGAATTAGATGGTAATCATTTTTGGAAACACATATTTTTCCTAAGCTTTTTCATCTGCCTATATTAATGCTTCTGTTTTGCTGTACTTGCATCTTCTATTTAAAAACTTATCTCCAGTCTTGGAAAAAAAATATGTTAAGTTTCGTGGCCAAACTAATGTAGAAAAAGTTTTTTTTTGAATCATCAAACATGGTATTTATTAATAGATATGCCCGTCTACTTTCAAAAAGTCGTGTTCCTTACAACTTAAGGAAAAAGAGAGAAAACCTGGAATGAACATTGTGCAGTATATAGATTCTGATCGTATCTTATTTGAACGTACATGATATTTAAGTGATAGCTTTAAATAAGAGAAAAAAGCCCACATTTGTGAAAGTTTAACTAGAATTAAAATGAAAGTTTAAATATGTAGGTAATGGATCCTGTTCTCCTGCAGTCATGGCATTTTAAATAATGCTAATTGCCTGTTTTTTTTACTGCCTTTTATCTTCTTATAAATACAACAAAATAAAGAAATAGTTTCCTTCACTGCCTATTGTGTGATTAGATTAGCAGGATGCTAAGACTGCAGATAGTCTTTGATTTACGACTGGTCCTTTAATGACTGTTCAAAGTTATAATGGCCTCTGAAAAGTTGCTTTATAGAAAGCACATCCAGCCATGATAAAATGTCACATTTTTATGTCATTACCATTTGCATTTATAACCAATTGACATGTGATCACCTTTTGCAATCTTTTTTCCAACCTCCGGAATGGAGCTGAAATCTTCAGCTGCTGCCCCACAACGGATTTCCCCTCCATGCACAAGGATAGGGGGTAGAATCTATTGTGGGACTGTAGGGACAGAGCTGAATTCCCAAAGACTTCTGTTCCTGCAGCCACCCCAAAGGATTTCCCCTCTGTGTATGGAAAAAAGGGAAGTCCTTCAGCAGACTGCAAGAACAAAAGGGCTGCCTGCTGGAAGGATTTCAGCTCCACACAGAGTTGGAATCCTTTAGCAACAGCTCTTTTACTGCGTCCGATTAATGACCTGGGAGAGAGCTTAATGACCGCAACCGGAAGTGCCGGGATTGTGGTTGTTGAGTGAAGGAGTCATGTGGCTGTTTCGCCTAACAGTTGCTTTGCTCAACAACCCAGATTAAGGTGTCAATCATATTCGTACTTTGAGGACTACTTGGACACATATCTCGAGTTAGCTAAAAGAATTGAGTTGAACTCCCTGATATTTAAGAGGACAACTCTAAGCATTTCATGTTCTAGGGCAGATTTGCCTCTTTTCTCTATCACAGCTTGGTGTGTTCTTAAAAACACACATACCCACACACCTGAGGTTAGTGATCTTTGAAATAAAATGGAACTGCAGTTCTATGTCTGAAGTGAGATATAGCACAGCTTCTGCTCATTGCACACACACAGAGTAAACTGGATTTCTTCAATTCTACCGCGAGGCTTGTGTTATCTTCTGAATTTAAGAATAACAAGCTAACTTACAAGGGTACAAAGCAAGTTGTGTTGTGAAGCTTTTCTGTTCTCCAACATAGGATGAAACCACCGAGGGCTGTCACTAATATCTCCCCATCCTCAAATCTGCTGCTTCAGGCAGTCGCCTTCGAATGGGAATTTGATTCTGTAGTGTAATGGATGTTGGATGGTTGACGTTCAAAGCATTTGTGCAAGCGACTAAGTCAGTACAGGGAGTCCTTGAATTACGACCACAATTGAGCCCAACATTTCTGTTGTTAAGTGAGACATTTGTGAAGCGAGTTTTGCCCCCATCTCACGACCTTTCCCGCCACTGTTGTTAAGTGAATCACTGCAGTTGGTATGTTAGTAACCCGGTTGTTAAGTGAATCTGGTATCCCCATTGACTTTGCTCGTCAGACGGTCTTAAAAGGGGATCACGTGACCCCGGGACACAGCATCCGTCATAAATATAAACCAGTTGCTAAGTGTCTAGATTTTGATCATGTGACCGTGGGGACGCTGAGAGGTCATGACTGTGAAAAACGGTCATCAGTCATACTTTTCAGTCTGTTTTAACTTTTAATGGTTACTGTTGTAAGTCTATAGCAGGGGTGGGGAACCTTGGCTCTTTTATGACTCGTGGACTTCAACTCCCAGAATTCCTGAGCCAGCCTGGCTCAGCTTGGAAACCTCTCCCTTTCTCCTCAGCGTGGCTGGCTGAGGAATTCTGGGAGTTGAAGTTCACGAGTCTTAAAGTTGCCAAGGTTGAGGACCCCTGATATAGGGCAGGGGTGAGGAACCTTGGCTCTTTTATGACTGATGGACTTCAGCTCCCAGAATTCCTGAGCCAGCATTGCTCAGCTTGGAAACTCTCCCTTTCCCCTCAGCGTGGCTGGCTGAGGAATTCTGGGAGTTGAAGTCCACGAGTCATAAAAGAGCCAAGGCTGCCTACCCCTGTCCTGAGTCCTCCTGTTCTAAGCGGTGAGCCTCCTAGACCAGACGTAGGCAACCTTGGCTCTTTTATGACTCGTGGACTTCAACTCCCAGAATTCCTGAGCCAGCATTGCTCAGCTTGGAAACCTCTCCCTTTCCCCTCAGCGTGGCTGGCTTAGGAATTCTGGGAGTTGAAGTCCATGAGTCATAAAAGAGCCAAGGTTGCCCACCCCTGCCCTATATCAGGGGTCCTCAACCTTGGCAACTTTTAAGACTTGTGGACTTCAACTCCCAGAATTCCTCAGCCAGCATGGCTCAGCTTGGAAACCTCTCCCTTTCCCCTCAGCGTGGCTGGCTGAGGAATTCTGGGAGTTGAAGTCCACGAGTCATAAAAGAGCCAAGATTGCCTACTCCTGGTCTATAGTCTGTAGTGACTACAGGTAGTCCTTGACTTACTCCCATTCGTTTAGCGGCCGTTTGAAATTACAACGGCACTAAAAAAGAAGTGACATGCGCTTCCCCCCCCCCATATTTACGACCATTGCAGCCTCCTCACGGTTAGGCAATCAACATTCAAATGCTTGACAATTGCTGTGTATTTGGGACAGTTACGTACTCCCGGGATCTTGTGATCACCGTTTGCGTCCTTCTGACAAAGTTAATGGGGAAGCCCAGAGTCACTTAACAAACGTGTTACTAACTTTAACAATTGCAGTGATTCACTTAACAGCTGTGGCAAGAAAGGTCATAAAACGGGGCAAAACTCACTTGGCAATGGTCTCACTTAGAAACATTGGGCTCCATTGTCGTAAGTCAAGAACTGCCTAAAATTGGCATTTGATCTAGGGAGCCCACATCGTCTCGGCTGGCGAAGTAATTTGTCCAAAATCTGCTGTATTTCAGTTGATCACAGTCGAGTTAAACTGACGTTAAAAACTCCCACGCAAGATTCTGACTACATCAACGCAAATTTCATTAAGGTAGGTATTCATGTAACTTTATCGCCTTGTGTGATGGACGTGTGAATCCTTCAAAATAACTGGCTTAAATTTCTCCCCGGAGATCACCTTTTGGTACGGACGAATTGTGTGTGATCCTGTTGAGCTTGAAGGCAAAGAAGCTGGAATCCCCCCCCCCAAAACCAAAACAAGTGGAGAAAAGATGACCTTGTTAAACCGTCAGTGCAGGAAACAATAATTGCCAAGCTAATGTAGCAAAATTAGTCACAAAACCAGAGGAAATAAAATCTCTAATTTTAGCAACATGCAATAACCTGTTTGACTTGACTGTAGTAATTTGAAAGTGAATAAGAGGCCTTAATTAAGAGATTTGAATAAAGTATGTTAGTAAATGTATAATTTTTAATTAATCAGCTATTAGCGTATGATACATACGTTGTAAAGTACAAGCAATTTTTGAAACCTTTTTATTTCTGCCTTTAATGCGTCAATCATAAATTAACATGTAATTCTTCAAGAAGGCAGAATAGAATAGGAATAGAAATAGAATAGAATAGAATAGAATAGAATAGATGGTATGGTATGGTATGGTATGGTATGGTATGGAATAGAATATATGGAATGGAATAGAATAGAGTAGAATAGAATAGAATAGAATAGAATAGAATAGAGTAGAATAGAATAGAATAGAATAGAATAGAATAGAATAGAATAATAACTTTATTGTCACTTTGAATGTACGCTAATCGGCATACATCAAAATGAAATTTCATTGCATTCAACTCTCAAAGGATCACCACCGGTATACACTACATAAATATGACAAAAATAAATACAGAATTATGCATATACCCACATATATGACACAGAGAAACAACAGTCTAGTTTGGGTTATGTATACATGTAAATTAAAATTAAAGTAACATCATTTGGTTTGTGTATTTATATTGCAGAAGCAGTAATGTGTATTTTTACTGCAATGGAATGGAATCACCAAAGCAACTTATTGTTATTTTTTCTAACAAATTTATTAAGAATTATGAATGAAGAGAATCAAAGCGAATACTAATTACAAACATGCAAACAGTAAAATACAAAAAAGTGTGAAAAAAAGAAAGTGTAACTTTGCCCTTTATTCCCAGCAAGTAAAAACAATTTTAATAGCATATCACCCACCTCTAAATACAATATAATCTCTCTTCACCCCACAGCGTCTCTTTTAAGCAAAAAAACAAAAACAAAATGCAAACATTTTGTCAATTGTTTATTGACAGTAAAAGTCCAGTAGGAGCAATCATACATAACATTTTTTTTCTTTTAGCCCTGCTTGAATAAGCTGACTTTGTATTCCTTCCTTAAGTTTTTAAGAATCTTATTTTTTAATCCCTTCAAAAAAGAGTTTTCTCTCTCTCTGCTTTTTTTAAGCCAGAAATCTTTCAGAATGTTACATTCCTTCCGTGTAGCCAGCATGTAAAATTTGTCATTTTGTTTGTTATTTCTAATAAAATCCTTCAAGATCTTAACAGACTCTTTTTGTTTATCCGGTAAAGAAAAGTTATCCAAGTCAGTTTCCTGGTTCACTAATAATGCATCTTCTTTAGGGAATACCGTACGTCATCCATCAGCTCCATTTGTGTATCCATGAGCAGCTTATATAATGGAAAGTAGTTATTATGGGTTAGCTTTTAGGGCTTTGGGTCCTTGCATCTGTAGTGTCTTTCCCTCAAAAATTAGATTAGGCAATCCTTAATAGCATCCTGTATCCTTTAAATAAAATCTTAAAATTGGACGTTGATTTTGTTTGCTTTTTTTAAAATAAACTGTTTCACTTTAGGATATTGAAGCCAATCTGAAAAGCAATCATTTAAAGAGAAAACAATTCATACATTTTGCAGTCTGTAGCTGGAAAAAAAACTTAATAATGCTCCTTGAGCATTTGGGCTGTTACAGTGAATTTTTATGGGAGGGTTTGCTATTAACTTGTATTTCATGAATAAAAAAAATGGTATTTTTCTAGGATTTCTTTAAATTTTCCTATTGGCTTGAAAAAGTGAGTTTGTGGAGACTTTGCATCTATTTTTAAAATTCTGTGGAGATTCTCAGCCATCCAGTCATCATAGTTATCCCAAAGATGCTTTTTTCAGGAGGCAACTGGACTTTCTTGTTTTTCCTTGAAGACGTTTCGCTTCACATCCAAGAAGCTTCTTCAACTCTGACTGGATGGTGGGGAGTGGAAGAATTTATACTCCTTGCAGAGAGCTGGTCATTTGCCTTCTTTTGGAGAATCGTTGAAGCCACCTGGAGGTTTATCTGTGGTCCTCAGGGTCACCTGAGTAGTACAAATGGGTGTGGAGCCTTCTTGAAAGGACCGTGTTGTAGACCGGAGATAGATGATGTCGCATCCTTTAGGACTCGCTAAAATGAACAGCTCTCTGCGAGGAGTATAAATCCTTCCACTCCCCACCATCCAGTCAGAGTTGAAGAAGCTTCTTGGATGAGAAGCGAAACGTCTTCAAAGGAAAACAAGAAAGTCCAGTTGCGTCTTGGAAAAAAGCACCGTTGGGATATTTTCAAAATTCACGTTCCACTCATCGCCCCTGTCTTTGGAACAATCTTGGACCTTTTACGCACAAACGGTCTTAAAAACGCATCTCCTTCTGTTCTAATATTCAGCTGCATGTTGCAATTTTAGGGAGTACATGGACCAAAAGCGTATGTTGCTACCCAGGGACCACTAGCCAACACAGTAATTGATTTCTGGAGAATGATATGGGAGTACAATGTCGCGGTAAGTACCGAATTGATCATATTACGAGAAATTTTGCTACCTGATTCAACTGGGGGAGGCTGTTGGGCACTCAAGATGGTCGCATCCCGACGACCTTTGGAAGCAGATTGGCTGAACGTCAATCGTATCTCAGCTGTTCGTATTTATTTCAGATTACTTAAAGGTGAATGAGAGCAGCCAGGCTTCTGGAAGGGCCAATGCTCTCTACAGGAAGTCCTCAACTTACAACAACAGTTCATTTAGTCTCTGTTCAATGGTACAAGTGAAAAAGTGACTTATGACCGTTTTTCACACTTACGACCTTTGCAGCATCCCCATGTTCATGTGTTCAAAATCCAGACGCTTGGCAACTGGTTCATGTTTATGACAGTGGCAGCGTCCCGGGGTTATGTGATCCCCTTTTGCGACCGTCCGACAAGCAAAGTCAATGGGGAAGCTAGATTTCACTTAACGGCCGGGTTATTAACAACTGCAGTGATTCATTTAACAACTGCGGCAGGAAAGGTCGTAAAATGGGGCAAAACTCACTTAACAAATATCTCACTTAACAATTGTGGTCGTAAGTTGAGGACTTCCTGTACCTTTTAAGTCTGGGGGGCTGAAAATTACATTGGAAATGTCAGTTGATACAAAATGCAAACCCTCCACATATTGGCAGACAATTTTGGCAATGTTTTCTAGACCCATCTGGGTTTTTTTTTCCTTCCCCAGATTATTGTAATGGCCTGTCGGGAATTTGAAATGGGAAGGGTATGTATGAATCACATTAATTTCCTTGCCACATTTGCTATGGGTGATAATGAAATTAAATCTTGATTTAACAGTTTTAGATTTACTTAGTGATAAAAAACAATATCTAAAGAGAAGAACGCAGCTAGTTTATTAATTTTGTTTATTGACGTCTTAAGAGTCTATGTTAAATCAAATAGCATTTAGAATTTCATTGTGCCACTTAAATCACAGGTTTATAAAAAATGTGTATCCTGCTGAATTTTAAGACAGATCCCAATACTGCTCTAAAATTTCAAGTTTCAAAAAGATTAACTGTGAAAAAATCAAGGAAGTAAAAAGATTGGGAGGGCTTTATCCAGGTAAAGTCTAAAATGTATGCATTCCAAAGTGTGTGTATTTTTATAAAACTGCTCATTTTGCTAACAGAAAAAATGTGAACGTTACTGGCCACCGTATGGAGAAGAAGCCATCTCATTTGGACCATTCCACATTTCTTGTGTAAGTGTTTTTATGACCGATAAGTCTTTTAACGAAGTTGTAATTTGGGCTTAATATGCACAGTTGTGTGAACATTGAACGCACAAACCTGTTTTGCATTCTTCTGCAGTTACATGAGTTAAATCAGTAGTGGGTTCGAAGTGTTTTTACTTTGAATAGATTAATAATTGTGTGAGTAGCAAAAGCAGATATTTAAAGTCTTGGTAATGCTACATCGATAACATTGTTCAGACAATAGCTTAGAATAAAAAAAATGTTTGCATTAATAACGGAGCGTTTTTCCTCAAAATTCTACTTACAAAAAAGAGGAATTGTAGATTAGCCTTATTTACATTATAGTTTGACATGAAACCATGCTATGGGTATCTCTTGACATTCCCTCTCTGATGCGACTAGAAAATTAGCAGATTTTATTTCCATTTTTAAATTGCCACAGTTTGATGATTTGCACCAATCTGGATAGGCTGGTCAATCTGAGCAAAATTTGCTGTCGCTTTTGTCAAGCTTCCTAAACCATGGTTTGAAGTTGGCTTTTGGGCGGGTGTATTTAAGGCTGTGTCAAAGTGGGCAAAGCCTTAAATCTACTTTTGTTTTCCGTTTAGGAAGCTGAACAGGTCAGGACAGATTACTATATTAGAACCCTGCTCATTGAACATCAGAATGTAAGTATAATAAAATATCTCTTTTCTCCAATTAAGCTAAACACGGTATAATTCTTATTTCGGTTAACCCTTGTGTGAAATTGCTTTGTTTTTGGTAGCATATTAGTGGAATAATTCTGTTTAGCTTAAACAAATAGGGATGTGAGAATTTGAGATTTGAGAACTTTCAGAAATTGTGAATGATTCATCACTGGAGGCTTTTAAGAAGAGACTGTCTGGAAGGGTAGAGGGTCTCCTGCTTGAGCGGGGGGCTGGACTAGATGACCTCCAAGGTCCCTTCCAGCTCTGTTATTCTGTTATTCTGAGTGTCTCAGACCCCTGACAAATGATAAAACGTTCCTTTTTGTTCTTTGTTACCTGCCACTTGTTTATTTTTTTCATTTTTATAAATAGTTGTGCTTTTAGCCGTACAGTGTCCCCTTTTCAGCTAAGGGGAGGCCGAGAAGAGGGCAGCGTGCTATTTGACTTACGTATTTCTGGTAGTTTGGAAGGACTAAGGACTAAGATATCCCATTTTTCATTTGAAACAAGGCAGGAAGAATCTGAGGCAAGCCTTTTTTTTTTAAGCGAAAGAAAGACTTAATGACTAACAGTAATAGCCTTAGGGCAGGGGTGTCAAACTCAATTTCATTGAGGGCCGCATCAGCATTGCGGTTGTCCTCGGGGGGGGGCAGGTAGGTTTGGCCAGGGTGGGCCCGGCCTACTGGGTGGGCATGGCTGGAGTGGGTGTGGCCTACTGGGTGGGCATGGCCAGCTCGACATCGTTCACGTCAAGGGTGCCATGGGAGCCTGGGCAGGAGTGGGACAGATCTGAGGGTCTCTGGCAGAAGGGGGTGGGACCGGGGCAAGCGCCAAGGCATGGTCCATTTCTTCATTCCTCACAAAGGGTGACACCTCCCCGGCATGCACCCAGGGGGCGGGGCCGACGCGGGCAGGGGCTGATTCCTCGCTGTTTCCAGACGGCCTTGTGGAGCTAAGACTGAATGCGTTTCAGCATAGATGGCCACCACAAAATTGTACATTGGCTCCCGGCCGGCCTGGGCCAGGGCCAAGGCAGCGGGGGCCGTTCCCTCACTGTTTCCAGGATGGCTTCGTGGGCCACATGAAACCACGTCGTGGGCTGCATCTGGCCCCCGGGCCTTGTGTTTGACATCTCTGCCTTAGGGCAAAATGCCAGTGTAGTCACTGGACTAATAATGAGAATGAAAAGCAGTTGCAAATGAGAGGATGCTTCTCGGGTAGACACCCCCCCCCAGCAGGACGATGGAAACAGAGGAGCTTCCAAATCACGTAGAGCGGGGGTCCCCAACCTTTCGGACACCGGGGACCGGTTCCGTGGAGAGAGGCATTTCCGTGGACCAGAGGGGGCGTGGTTTCATGTGCTGCCTGCATCCCGCGGATGGGGCTTTGCTTGTTTGCGCGGACCGGTTTCTAACATGCCACGGACCGGTGTCGGTCCAGGTACCGGGGATTGAGGACCCCTGACGTAGAGGGATAGCCTCAGCTATTTGGATATTTTTTTGGGATCTTGACTTTCACATGATAACCCCCTTCACTTACTAAGAATTCTGGCTGGCTGGGGAATTCTGGGAGTTGAAGTCCACAGGTCTTAAAGAGGCCAAGGTTGGACACTTCCGATGTAGATGTTTGACCTTGCAGGTTTTACAGGCAGGTTTCCAGTTGAATATTAAACCTTGTGCTTTTACCAAACCTACGTTGTTGTTTTTTTCCCCAGGTGCAGTTCTTTTAATTTATTTTGATAGACTATCGCATAGTACCCTAAATATAGACATATAAGTTGGAAAGTGTTTCTTTAGGTTCTGTCTTTCTCCCGTTTTTGTAAAAACTCAAAGAGAACCTCCAGCAGATGTTCCAAATAAACCAGACTTAGCAATTTATGCAGAGCTATTTACAGTAGTGGCCAAAATTGTGGAAACCTTTTGGGAAAAGTGTATTTTTGAGGTTTGATGGCTAATAACACCACTTTTTTGCCGGGGGGGGGGGGAGTACCATAAAATTATATATTAATGGAAAGATAATTTAATCAAGAACGTAATGCAACAAAGTTTGTTCAATTATCTGTACTGTATTGTATGAAAAGTTATAGCCAAATAACCAGAAAAAGGAAGCACAACTTGCTAAGGTTGATCTCAGGTAGCTTTCCTTCCTCTGATTGTAGCCAATGAGCGTGTTTAGAGATCAGGTGTCCTTTTGTTTTGGCAATGAGCCAATCAGATCACAGTAGGATTCAGTGATTAATGTCATGTATTGAAGCTGAGAGGAGGACATTTGTCAGTGTGTTATGTGATCGCTATCAAGTGGGTTGGGTTTTTTTGTGTTCTTTCATGTAAAACGTAATAAAATTAAATTAATGGTGCAAAGAGTTGACTGGTTGCCCAGAAAGCGATGTAAAATAGTATTATTAAGGGAACAAGACTACAGTTATAAAGAAATGTGAAGAAAAATGGGTGGAAACTTAACCAAAGGTGGCATTTCTACTGTACACTTTTCCCAAAAGGTTTCCGCAATTTTGGCCACTACTGTATATGAGTTCCTTTAGTGTGGCACAGTCACCCATGATTAGTGAGGAATTTGAGAAAAAACAACGTTCTCGAAAGGAATGGTTTTATAAATAATGCAACCTCAATTCTGATGCTTTAGGAATCGCGAAGAGTATATCAGTTTCATTATGTCAATTGGCCTGACCATGATGTTCCTTCGTCCTTTGACTCTATTTTGGACATGATCAGTTTAATGAGAGAATATCAGGAACACGAAGACGTCCCTATCTGTATACACTGCAGGTATGTTTGTTTTTTTTCATCGGGATTATTTCAGGAGTGCCAGTGACTCACCGTAGGAAATATTTGAGTAGTTTTTCTTTTTCCTTTATTAAGGAAAGGAGTGGGAGGAGCTTTTTTCCCCAGTTCCTTTTCATATTTTTAAAGTCTGGCACACCGAAAAATTTTAAGTCCTACGTATAAATCACGGGAATATAAATAAAGCTTTGTTAGTTAGGTGTCCCAGAATGCCACAGAAATTAGAAACATTTTTGGTCATAGATTTGTTGGATAGTTAGTGTGTATTTTCTACCCTTATTTCCTGTGGTGTCCTTTGTATTTGTGTGTGGTTCGCTTGATGCACAGTAGCAGATAGGAAAGCGCTCCAGAGGGTCATTACCATCACCCAGAGGATTATTGGCTGCCCTCGCATCCCCCCCCCACCTGGACGAACTGTACAGTTCCTGTTGTCTTAGGAAAGCTCAAAACATTCTTAAAGACTCATCTCATCCTGGATATTTCTTTTTTTGAACTATTTCCATCTTACAGATGGTACAGGATAATAAAAACAAAGACAAATAGGCTGAAAAAATAGTTTATTTCCCAGAGCTGTAACCATATTAAATAACCACATATAGTGCAACATTGAAGTCCGATATTAGGAGGAGCGCAATGGTGAATAGAATGTGAAGGATGTGTATATATAATGTATGTTCTTATTTGTGGTTTTTACTTGTGTATAGTGTGCCCTGTGGACAGCACTTAATTTCGTTGTGAGTTCCACAATGACAATAGAGCTATTCCATTCCATTCCATATTTTCTATTCTATTCTATTCTATTCTATTCTATTCTATTCTATTCTATTCTATTCTATTCTATTCTATTCTATTTCATTCCATACTCCATTCCATATTCCATTCCATTCCATTCCATTCCATATTCCATATTCCATTCCATATTCTATTCTATTCTACTCTACTCTACTCTACTCTACTCTACTCTATTCTATTCCGTTCCGTTCCGTTCTGTTCTATTCTATTTCATTCCATTCCATACTCCATTCCATATTCCATTCCATTCCATTCCATTCTATTCTATTCTATTCTATTCTATTCTATTCTATTCTATTCTATTCTATTCTATTCCATATTCCATATTCCATATTCCATATTCCATTCCATATTCCATTCCATTCCACTCTACTCCACTCCATTCTTTGATAGTAATTACTTTAGAAGAGTCTCTTCACTGCTTGAGAGTGGCTAGAAGAGAAAGGGTGCCTTTACATAATGTTTCTTGTGCCAGATGAATAGTTCTTTTATATGTTTCCAGTTACTTTAAAAGCCATTTTTTACGTCTGGTAGTTTATTTGTTTGGCTTGCAGTCTGTTTCAGTTGTGAAAGTCTTAAGTGGCATTCTTCCCAACCGTATTAAATAAATTGAGCTAAAAACAACACAGTATAAATTAAGAAATAGTCATGTACCACAGAGTACGTATAGACTTGGAATAATCGTCAAGCATCAGTGCGAACCAGTTTGGTCTAGTGCAGGGGTGGGGAACCTTGGCTCTTTTATGACTCGTGGACTTCAACTCCCAGAATTCCTGAGTCAGCGTGGCTCAGCTTGGAAACCTCTCCCTTTCCCCTCAGCGTGCCTGGCTGAGGAATTCTGGGAGATGAAGTCCACGAGTCATAAAAGGGCCAAGGTTCCCCACCCCTGCCCTATATCAAGGGTCCTCAACTGTGGCAACTTTAAGATTCGTGGACTTCCAACTCCCAGAATTCCTGAGCCAGCATGGCTCAGCTTGGAAACCTCTCGCTTTCCCCTCAGCGTGGCTGGCTGAGGAATTCTGGGAGTTGAAGTCCACGAGTCATAAAAGGGCCAAGGTTGCCTACCTCTGGCCTAGGCCTAGGCCACTTTGTGACTCGTGGACTTCAACTCCCAGAATTCCTGAGCCAGCATGGCTCAGCTTGGAAACCTCTCCCTTTCCCCTCAGTGTGGCTGACTCAGGAATTCTGGGAGTTGAAGTCCATGAGTCATAAAAGAGCCGAGGTTGCCTATCCCTGGTCTAGTGGTTAAGACACCAGGCTAGAAACCAGGAGACTGGGAGTTCTAGTCCTGCCTTAGCCACGAAAGTGGCTGGGTTACTTTGGGCCAATCCCCAGGAGACTGGGAGTTCTAGTCGTCTCCCCCCCCCCCCCCGGTCCCAGCCATGAAAGCCAGCAGGTTGTCTCTTGAGCCAGTCACTCTCCCTCAGCCCAACTCACCTCACAGGGTTGTTGTTATAGGGAAAACAGTAGGAGGAAGATACGTTGGATAATGTTCACCGCCTTGAGTTCTTTGTAAAAATAATAAAGGCGGGACACAAATGAATAAAATTTTAAAAAATCATTTAAAAACCAGAGGGCACAAGGTCGTAACACTTCAACCCCCTAAGACTTGATGGAGTGAAGTTACTCCTCAACGTACGACCACAGTTGAGCCCAAAATGTCTGTGGTTAAGCATGTGTCAAGTGGGTTTTGCCCCATTTTACGACCTTTCTTGCCCCAGTTGTGAAATGAATCACTGCGGTTGATAAGTGAGTAACCCGGTTGTGAAGTGAATCTGTCGGAAGGTCGCAAAAGGGGAATCCCGTGACCCCGGGACACTGCAACTGTCATCAATATGAACCTGTTGCCAAGCATCTGAATTTTGATTACGTGTCCGCGAGGACGCTGCAGAGGTCGCGACTGTGAAAAATGGCCTTAAGTCACTTTTTTCAGTGCCGTTGTAACGTTGAACGGTCACTGTGCGAACTGCTGTAAGTCGAGGATTACCTGTAAAAGTACTTCAATAGACCACAGAAAAAACAGGAGATTTCCAAGGGGGACTGCTATGCTAGAGAAGGCTGACTTCCATGGTCCTTGAAGATAACACTCCCTGAATAAAGGGACCTGGAAGATGTCCACGCTCCCAGATTTGTTGGATGGGCAAGTGCCGTTGAGAGCTGATCATTTCAGATAAATATTCTGGGGTATTAAAGGTGAGAACAACACCTTGACTTACACCCAGAAGCCATCTGGCAAAGAGTAGAGCTCTCCCAAGTATTTGATTATATGGATGAATCAGGATCGTTGCAGTCCTTGACTTACAACAGTTCGTTTAGTAACTATTCAAAGTTAAAACGGCATTTAAAAAGTGACTTAATGACCATTTTTCACACTTATGACCGTTGCAGCCTCCCCATGGTCACGTGCTCAAAATTCAGAGGCTTGGCAACTGGCATGTACTTAATGACGGTTGCATTGCCCCGGCGATCCCTTTTTGCAAACTTCTGACGAGCAGAGTCAACGGGGGAAGGCAGATTCACTTAACAACCGGGTCACTAACTGAGCAACTGCAGTGGTTCACTTACCAACTGTGGTGAGAAATGTCGTAAAATGGAGCAAAACTCACTTAACAAATGTCTCACTTAGCCACGTAAATTTTGGGCTCAGTTTTGCTTGCGACTTGGGAACGACACCTGTGTATACACACGCCTGGATGTACATATGTTTTTGTACGCGTTACAGTTTAATTTGAACGGGTTGGATGCCACCCATGTAGCAAGAATCCTTGGATAGAATAAAAATGCAGCGTGTTTACAAAACGGAACATGTGGAGTTTTTTTTTTTTAATTTAAATCTGCTTTCCACAAACTGTATGTGTCTCCTTTTTTTGTTTTTTTTGTTTTGTTTTTTGTTACACAGCGCAGGATGTGGACGAACCGGAGCCATCTGTGCGATAGATTACACATGGAATTTGTTGAAAGCCGGGGTAAGGAGGATTTTTTAGAGCCATCGACATGCTGAAAAACTAGGTCATCTTATGCAAGCGATTAGAGCTTTACAGAAGAATAATCAGTTGAACGCCATGAGCAAAAAAAAACCTGAAAGATAATTTGGAGAAAAAGCAGATGGCTTACTGCTTTGGGGGTGAAAAAAGGAAAGGCAGTTTTAATTGTTGAAGTGTTGGAACACAGAGCAAAAAAAAAGAAAAAGAAAAAAGAAATTAAGCAGTTTGTAAATGCATTATAGAACGTTTGAAATTAAGTTTCTCCCGTGGAAAAAAAATCCATTGCTCGTGTTCTGTTGTTGCAGAAAATTCCAGAGGAATTCAATGTATTCAATTTAATACAAGAAATGAGGACTCAAAGGCATTCTGCGGTGCAGACTAAGGTAACCTTGTCTTCGGAATCTAAATGAACGGTGCGGCATGAAGGATTTGGGGGGCATGAAGGATTTGGGGGTGGGGAACGGCGTCTTTTCCAATGAGCTAAGTTAATCCTTGTCTTTATCCCGCACACCTAGGAACAGTATGAACTCGTTCATAGAGCCATAGCGCAATTATTTGAGAAACAGTTGCAAAAATACGAGAGCTCTGCGGCCTGGAAAATTGCAGACGGATTGGTATGTGGCTTAAGTCATATGTTTTGTTTATTTTAAATATTTTGAAACCGTATCATTTCCACGAGTTGAATTACTTTACCTTTGCTCTGTTTTGCCTCATTTCCTTCCCCTGGTCAGCAGTTTTTGAAACACTGTGAGTGCATGAATGAACTTCCAGCTGCCTTGGACCCAGTTGAATCACAATTTTGACTCCTGCAGAACGTTACCGTTAATTTCTCTTTGATCTTTCGACATTTCTTGTTAAAATTCCCCACGCGGGCTCTTTTGAACTCGGTCTGCGGCAATTGTGTGACGTGACGCTTCTGAGACACCAAGGTTTTGATGCTGACCTGAGACACCAAGGTTTTGAAGCAACACCCAGTCATTTAGATCTGGAGTCTCCAGACGTGGCAGTTTTCAGACTTGTAAACTTCAACTCCCAGAATTCCCCAGCCAGGAAGTTGAAGTCCACAAATCTAAAAGTTTTCCAAGTTTTGGAGACCCCTGATTTAGATCACCCAACCTACTTAACTTTACTAGGTTTGGTTTGAAAGCCTCTTTACATAACCTGTTAATAGACGCTGGCCTTGATACTCTGTACAATCTTTAATTTGTACTTTGTATTGAGTAAGTCGAAATAAAACCAAGTCTGACTTCTGCAGTAGTTTGCCTGGGTGCCAATTTTCAATTTTTTGACAAATAGCAAATCCATCCTACCCAGAACAAAGTTCAAAAAACACATACCGGGCACACTATAATTGTAGGGTATGTTCTGGTCTGTCTCGTTTTACCTGTGTTTGCTCAAATTTCTTAGACACCTTTTATTTCTAGACATCAGCCATTTCAAAGGCAGTTGTGCAATATCCAGTTTCAGTGAGTAACTCCAGCCAGGTAACCACAGGCAGACAAAGCGTTGAGTTTCCAAACTGAAAATATTTGACTTAGAGTGACCACATAAATGAGTTCTTAAAAGCTTCTGAATTTCTGTAGTCTGAGACATGAACAATGGGACTCTGATGAAGGCGTCTCACGCTTTAGTCATAAGTTAATAGATTTAGGCCATGCTGAAATTTCCCATGACATGCTTTAATCTTAAGAGTTTTGAAAAAAAAACCCTAAACACTGTTTTCTAGAATTTTCCTGTCTCATCATGCTGCTTCTGCATTGTTAAGTCATTTTGCTTCTTGGTAGAAAGAAAAATAATATAAAACATGCAGGTAGTCCTTGACTAAAATTTCTTTATATATATATATATATTTAATATATTTTATTGATTTTTTTACATTAACAATCTTTAGTGTTGTCTGGGTTCATATATTTAACAACAACCAATAATAGTTCATTTCTGGGATTTCATAATCAACATATTAGCTAGAAATACCTTTCCTTGATCCTCTCTTCTTCCAATAATATTCTCCTTTTACCAAATATAGTTCTTAGTATTTTCAGTGCATATAAAGTTGAATATAAAGATTTTCCTAGTATTTATACGAATAACAATAACGTCAATATGTAGCGTCTTTTCTAATCAGCTTATTTCACAAGTGCATTTGCAAAAAACCATCTTACGTAAATCGCTAAAAGTCCTGTTTTCAGAGTTCTTATTTAAGCTTAATTTTCCCTCAGTAATAATCAAAACATTTCTTATCAATTACAGTTTTCTCAAGATTGATTACATTTAAATATCCAAAACATTTCCCACCTTTAAATCGTCCCAGTATTTTACGTTTCCCATATCATAAAAAAAAATACTATACTACTTATACATGACATTTCTCTTATTATAAAACCCATCCGCATCCAAAATTTAATTATTTTTTTAACCGTATCCAAACAAGTATTTGATCATATGGTACTCCATATGGTACTCCAGGTCACATCGTTTTCTGTTGTCAAGTGAATTTTGCCCCATTTTACGACTTGTCTTGCCACAGTTCATTAAATGAAGCACTGCAGTTGTTAACTTAGTAACCTGGGTGTTAAGTGAATCTGGCTTTGACCTTGATTGTCGCAATCATTTGACCCCCAGGACACTACAACCGTCAGGAGTACATGCCAGTTTCCAAGCCTCTGAATTTTGATCACGTGACTCTAGGGGGATGCTGCAAGGGTTGCAAGTGTGAAAAACAGTCACAAGTCACTTTTTTTTAGTGCCGCTGTAACTTTGAACGGTTACTAAACGAACTTTGCTAAGTTGAGGACTGCTTGTATTTAGATTTATTTTTATGTGGCCCAGAATCCCCTTGTGTGGAGACGGGCGGCATAAAACGTTCATAAGTAAACACATAAAAATAAATACATTCAAATTTCCATAACATTTTGCATTCTCGTTTTCTAGAAGGTTGATTGAATTTTCTGCTTGGTGTGTGGGGGGGAGGCGCTTTAATAAAACTGAATAAAACTCCCTCGGTCTCTTATTCTTTTGACAGAAGGAAGATAGCACAGAGAATGCCGTCAGCTCGGAAGACCCGGAGAAGCAGGATTCCCCTCCCCCTAAGCCACCTCGGACACGCAGGTATGCTGTTGAACCCACTCTTGGCAAGTCATTAGGAATCCATTTAAGGTGGATTTATTCACTTTCCATGCAGCTGCATAAACTTAATTCAGGTGTTCTTCTGGGGACGGAAAGAGCGGAAGGCGCCAGCAAATTTGTTGGGAAACTCCCAGGCAAGCAGGGAGTAGGACTCAAGAGGATTGTTGTTGTTAGTTGCGAAGTCGTGTCCGACCCATCGCGACCCCATGGACAACGTTCCTCCAGGCCTTCCTGTCCTCTACCATTCTTTAGTTATTCCCACCAAATAGATACTTCAAAGTCTGCCACAAAGACAGCATTGCTTTTCGGCTGACTGTAAAACTAAAATGAAAATATCCGGAGGAAGCAAATGGATCTTGGTAATTCCCAAAGGCAACAAGATCCATCTTTTTTTTTTCCCCCACAGTGTATTGCAGAGCTCTTCTAACTTGGCCCTTTTTATGACTTGTGGACTTCAACTCCCAGAATTCCTCAGCCTGGCTGAGGAATTCTGGGAGTTGAAGTCCACAAGTCATAAAAGGACCAAGTTTGAAGACCCTAGTATATTGTATATTGTCTTGGTCTTCGTTATCTTTCGTAGTTCTGATCGGACTTTTATTCAAATTTCAAACATATTGACTGAGAACGTTGGAAGGAAGTGTAATTTCACAGACTTTCCCTGTTACACATGGCGTTGAATCTTAAAATGTCTACAATTGCGAACGATATCGCCTTATACTTAATTGCAACTCTAAGCAGGCAGTCCTCAATTTACGACTACAGCTGAGCCCAAAATTTCTGTTGCTAAAGACAGGCGGTTGTTAAGTGAATCGTGCCCCGTTTTTGTGACCTTTTTTGCCACAGCTGTTAAGTAAATCACTGCAGTTAAGTAAATCATGTGGTCATTAAGCAAATTTGGCTCCCCCCATTGATGGTGCTTGTCGGAAGCTGTCTGGGAAATGGAGAATCACACGTCCGTTATAAATACATGCCAGTTGCCAAGCGCTTGAATTTTGATCATATGACCATGGGGACGGTCGTTAAGTGTGAAAAGCAGTCATAAGTCAACTTTTTCCAATGTCATTGTAACTTTGAAGCGTCCCTAAATGAATGATTGTAACTGGAGGACTAACTGTATAGCAATAACAATCGCACTCAGACTTAATACACCGCTTCACGGTGCTTTACAGCCCATTCTAAGCGGTTTACAGAGTCAGCATATGGCCCCCAACAATCTGGGTCCTCATTTTACTGACCTCGGAAGGATGGAAGGCTGAGTCGAACTCCTGGCAGTGGGCAGAATTAGCCTGCAATACTGCATTCTAACCACTGCACCACCTGGGTCCTTCCTTCCTTCCTTCCTTCCTTCCTTCCTTCCGACTTAGCAATAGCACTTAGACTTATATACCACTTCACGATGCTTTACAGCCCTCTCTGAGTGGTTTGCAAGTCAACCTGTGGCCCCCAACAATCTGGGTCCTCATTTTACCGACCTCAGAAGGCTGAATCAACCTGGAGCCGATCAGGATCGAACTCCAGGCAGTGGGCAAAATTAGTCTGCGTGCTCTAATCTGTTTTATCTCACCCATGCGTGTGTCTGTGCCTCAGAAATACTCACCTCCCTATTCTCATGATTGTGTTTAGTTGCCTCGTTGAGGGAGAGATGAAAGAAGAAATTTTGCAGGCCCCAGAGCCCCATCCGGTCCCACCCATTCTAACCCCGTCGCCGCCTTCGGCCTACCCAACCGTGACGACTGTTTGGCAAGACAACGACCGATACCACCCCAAGCCCGTTTTGCACACACTGTCTTCGGAGCAGCCGACAGACCTCAACGACAATTACGGTAAATCCAGGGAATATTCAGGGAAGCACGACTCGTCCGATCCGGCCGACAAAAAGCTGGAACACAACTTGAGCTTCGAAATTAAGAAAGTGCCCCTCCAGGAAGGCCCACGGAGCTTTGACGGAAACCCCGTTCTAAGTCGGGGCAATGCACTTAAAATCAAAACGTGCCTGTCTGGCCCGGCGGAGGCGGCCTCCAAACCGCAGGAGCGCGGCTCAGGAGATGCCCCTACGGAAACCGTACAGAACCCTGGCATCGAATGCGACCTGCAGCCAGTGACTCCAGTGGCAATATCCTCACCGGAAGGACATCAGGGTCTTACGACAACTCCCGATGCTCTGGGAAGGCCAGACTCGTTGCCCCTTCATAAAGAGAAGGGACACGCCATGTGGTCATTAGAAGAGGCTAAACCTGAGCGGCCGCTATCCGAGGAGGCCTCTTTTCCCATTTTATGTCATGAAGTTAAACATCTGCATGTAGACTCAGACCGGCCAGCGCAAATGGACCCCCCTCCCAGTGAACCGGCAGTTCATCGCCCCAGCGGCCCACTCCCTGCTAGAGCCCCTCTGTGTTTCACAAATCCTCTGCACTCGGATGATTCGGATACGGACGAGAGAAACGGCGAGGGCTACGTGGCGCCTAGCCCGTCTAACGTGTCCGTGGCAAGTGCCACGGTTTCTGCAGCGACTAACACAGAAAACGTTTCTGCTAGAAAAGTCTGGCCGATGTCCATTGCGAAGCAGGATAACCCGGTCCTCCGAATGCATTCCGAATCCGAGAAAGGTAAGTGGCGCAAAATTTAAATTTTTATGAATTAGGAAAGAAAGAAAGAAAAAACGAAACGAGAGCAAATTGCGCACAGCAGGAAGTGGGGCCCTTGGTGCTCTCTGAGCTTGGCTGTTTTTCTTGCAGATGTTTCATTACCAAACTAGGTAACATTATCAGTGCTAGAAGGGAATGGAGTTTGATCTTTTTATACTAGTGCAGGGGTCCCGAACCCCCGGGCCGTGGACCAGCACCAGTCCGTGGCATGCCAGAAACCGGTCCGTGCAAACAAGTGAAGCCCCATCCGTGGGATGCAGGCGGCGCGTGAAATCACGCCCCCTCCATTCCGCGGAAAAACCTCTCTCCACGGAACCGGTCCCTGGTGCCCAAAAGGTTGGGGGCTTCTGTACTAGTGACTTTCCTTTCTTTGTTGCTGGGAGTATTCTTGGTGGTTCCTTGACTAGGCTGTTTACTGTTTGAATTGGTAGTTTCTTGTTTACTTGTTGATTTGTTGGTCTAGGGCAGTGACGGTGAACCTTTTAGAGATCGAGTGCCCAAAAACCACCCCGCCTCCCGCAGGGCCACCCACTACCTCTAAGGCCTGCCACAGCAGATTGCCCAGGCCGCCCTGCAGCGCCAAGGCAGTCACGCCTTCCGCTATGCCCCGTGATGGGGAACGAGGGCAGAATCTTGTCCCCGCTGCCGGCTGCCATGTCCTTGGCTGTGCTGCTTCCTGCGGGCCATGCCCAGGGGCGACTCTTTTCCAGGGGGCGGCTGCTGGTGGGGGCACGGGGGGAGGCGGGGATGGGGCGATGGTGCGCATGCCCACAGAGAGTGGGCATGAGTGAGTGCCGCCTCTAGGTTCGCCACCACTGGGCTAGTGTTAATCTTGGTGATAATCTCTGCTCATCTGGGTGTTGATTGCTGGGGAGGACGTGTTTTGGTCCTTTTGTCTCCTTTTTGGCTTTTTTTTTTTTTTTGAAACACATTTTATTGGTTTTTGAGTTCTTAAGACAAAGTGCTCAGGACACACCGTGGTGTTGGGGTAATCAAACATTGAAAAATAAAACCATATATATATAATTCAACTCCATACATTCAATGTCCCTCTCTTTATTTCCCTCAAATAGCATAATACATTTAAGATATTCCATTTCTGATTTATATTTCTATAACTGCTAAACCTGTTTTAAAACTTTGTAAGTTTACAATCACCATAATCAAATTTAACTTTAAATCAACAAGTTATCAATTCAGGTATCCCTTCCAAATATATTCTAATTCTTAATCTCTCACATCCCTCATTTTATCACAGGTCTCATTTATTTCTTCTTTCACTAGACAATACATATCCTAATTAAAATAAAATATTAATCTACCCTGTACATATATAATACATCAATCGATCAATCTCTTTAAGATAACAAAATAATATTAAGCCTTAAATCGTTTTTCATTAAACAAAATTCAAATTTCATCCAATTGATTATCATGCCTTATCACATCTATATTATCATACAAAAACATCATCTTGGTAATTGAAAACACTCAATTAATTATTGAAACAATCCAAATCTAAAAAGCCACCATTTTTTCCATTCCAATACCTACAAATTTTCATCAAAATAAACCTATTATTCCACAAATTACATTCTTAATCTATTTTAAAATATCTGTTCTAATAATCACCCCCCCACACAATTTTTTTTTCTTATTTCTAAGTCTGAATCTTAATCCTTAAAACAGTCCATATATCAACAGTGCCTTTTGATCCATTACACATAATTTTAAATTCTTTTTTGGCTTTTTGAGACAAATCGGCCATCAGCAGGCACATAGGGATAAACAACGTCTACACACCATTCGCCTAAAGATAAGCAACATCCACTTTAGCCATTACTATATAAAAAGGAGTAAACCTGGTCAGCCTGTCCCCAAATCAGATAACTCATGGCAGTTTGTAACAGCCAAAACTGTAGAACTGTGAAATCAAAAAAATAATTTAAAAATAGCATGACTAGATACGCCAGCCCTGGGTTCTACCAAACACAAGTAGTTTTAACTGCCAATGACCCCGTGGAAGAGCTCAGCTTTTACTGGTTTGTGAATTGATGTTCACTTCGGTGAGACCAGCGAGGGGGATCCCTCCATCAAGTGGAAAGCAGCCCTTTGGGCCCCTCCCTCTGGTTCAGGATAAATTAAATTAAATTAAAGTCTTAAATTTTGCCTAAATCCTCAGCTAATTTGATCATTAGCTTGGTGAAAGGCCCGGGTTCCTTGGTGATTAAATGATTACAGTTTTTTATACTCTGTTCCGGTTGTGAAATGGCAATCTTGCAAAGTTGAATTAGTAAATCATAGCAACTATAATAGGAGGCATCACTCTTAAAGCAGGGGTCTCCCCAATCCCCAGGCCGTGGCCCCGTATTGGGCAGGGCCCCGTTTGGAACCGGGCTGCGCAAGTGGCGGGTCAGTGTGTGCACACAGTAGTGGCCAAAATGGTGGAAACCTTTTGGGAAAAGTGTACAGTAGAAATGCCAACTTTGGTTAAGTTTCCACCCATTATTCTTCTAATTTCTTTATAACTGTAGCCTTGTTTGCTTCATAATACTATTTTAAATCGCTTTCTGGGCGACCAGTCAACTCTTTGCACCATGACTTTAATTTTATTACGTTTTACAAGCTCACTAAATGAAAGAACGCAACAAAACCCAACCAACTTGACAGCGATCACATAACACCCTGACAAATGTCCTCCTCTCAGCTTCAATACAGGACATCAATCACTGGATCCTACTGTGATCTGATTGGCTCATGGCCAAAACAAGATGACACCCTGATTGGCTCTCTAAACACTCATTGGCTACCATCAGATGAAGGAAAGCTACCTGAGATCAACCTAAGCAAGTTGTGCTTCCTTTTTCTGGTTCTTTGGCTATAACTTTTCATAGAATACAGTACAGATAATTGAACAAACTGTGTTGCATTACATTCTTGATGAAATTATCTTTCCATTGATATATAATTTTATGGTACTACTCTCCCCCCAAAAAGTGGTGTTATTAGCCATCAAACCTCAAAAATACACTTTTCCCAAAAGGTTTCCACAATTGTGGCCACTACTGTAGCTTCACTTGCTTGAGCGGCAGGTGTGCACAAATGGAGCTGCACGCACCTGCTGCTCATATGGAACCATCTCCCCCCCCCCTTTTTGCCTGTCCACCAAGCCGGAAAAGTTGAGGAACCACTGCTCTAAAGTTCATTTCTTTGGTACATTACAGAATCCCTGACTTAAAATATTTAGGCGATCTGACTAAGGTTTCCTGGCCGTCCCTGCTCACTGACAAAAGTTTTATTCAACTCGAATTGCAGGTGCGAACGATGACTTTTCTCCCACCTTGCCAGAAAGAACGCTGGAATTGCTTGTGCTAGCGAGTCAACAGGGTGAGTTTTTACCTTGCACTGGAAGTGCACGTGCAGAATGCAGGATTGGGGTCAGATGGTTGAGGGGAAATGGCCCTCGCCTATTCGCTTATTTAGGTTGCTGGATTATAGCTTCTGTTGAATAGAGCAGGGCTTTTCAGCCCGTGGTACGGGTACCACCTGTGGTACATTGGCACCTGGCAGGTGGTACGTGACCATCCTAGAAAAGTGGTAGCAGGGGAGGGGAATGAGCTGAACCAATGGCAGCACCGCACAAGCCTGAGCGAGAGACGGCTGGAGCTGCAGGGCTGTCAGGGCTCAGCGGAAGCGCCAGGATCAGCACCAGGCTCCAGCTGGAAAGCAGCACTGATCCTGGCGCTTCTGCTGAGCCCAGAAGAAGCGCCGATCAGCTGGAATGTGGCAGCCTCTCCAGGGTCTTGTGATTTACATTCAGAGGCTTGGCAACCGATTCATATTTATGACGGTCACAGTGTCCCAGGGTCATGTGAAGTGACCAAGACCTGCTGCAACCACCCAGCATATGGGGGGAATAAAAACCAAACACCCCCACACCCCACCCCCACTGCCAATCCTCAACAGAAATGCTCACAACAATGAAAACCTCGGATAGGAGGAAGAGTGCCGCCGGGCGGGCAGGCACCTTGCTAGGTGACTGATGGTAACTATGATGTTGCCATATCCTAAAAGTGGTACAGTGGGTGAAAAGCCCTGAAATAGATCACCTGCGGAATCTTTTGAGTCTCCTTCTATTAAACCAGGGGTCTTCAAACTTGGCCCTTTGATGACTTGTGGACTTCAACTCCCAGAATTCCTCAGCCCGCACGCCTGACTGAGGAATTCTGGGAGTTGAAGTCCACAAGTCATCAAAGGGCCAAGTTTGAAGACCCCTGCACTAAGGGAACTGCTGCTACCTTGGATCTGGTGCTTAGCTACACATCTAAGGAGTGAGAACTCTGGGTACAAGTCGCCACACAAACCATTGTTTACTATTTTAACAACAAGGTTTTTTTAAAAAAGCCAAATGCAAACTTTCTAAAGCAGGGGTCTTCAAACTCGGCCCTTTGATGACTTGTGGACTTCAACTCCCAGAATTCCTCAGCCAGGCGTGAGGGCCGAGTTTGAAGACCCCTGTGTTAAACAGTCTCTCTTGATTCAGCTGATAAGAGACTTTCCTGCAGCTGGAAAAGTTGAATTAGAAAGCAGAGCTCCATGTCTGGTTTCCAGACTGCAGCTTTGTTTAGTTTTAAAATGCAACTGCTAACGTTTTATGGAGGTTACTTCTTTTAGAAATAATATGTTGTTGTTTTATTTTTTAAGTCACAGCTTTGTCAAAAAGTCCTGCTCTTCAACAGTCGGCTGAATGGAATTTGTTACAAGACCAGAACACCTCTGAGCAACCAAAATGTACAGTAAGTACGGTAATACAGAGAAAGAAACACACAGCATAGGAATAAGATGCTGGTAATGGCCTTTGGGAATATGCTGCCTGGTTTGTGTGTGTGTGTGTATAAATAATGGTTATTTGGCAGCTTCCTAAGTGATCCCTTGAATTTATGAATTCAGAACCAACTCTGTCGTATATTCGCTGTGGAAATTTGTGGTGGGTAATTATAGACAGCAGAGATTGTGCTTGAATATGTCCTTTGTGGAATAATAAATAATTACCACGTGGTTCTGAATCTGATAAATGGAATGGGAGGATAGTCTGTCCTTCCTCTATTCTTCAAGAAGCTCTCTTAACTCTTTGAACCAAACTTTAAAGTGTTTTAGGGCGAAAGGACAGAACAGAGCGGAGTTAGGATTACTGCAAGGCGATCAAACTGGTCAGTCCTAGAGGAGATCAACTGATCAATTGATTAGCAACCATCTTCCTTATTTGCATCTAAGATTTTGTAACGCAGAGAAGAGCAACAAAGATGATCGGGGGACTGGAGGCTAAAACATATGAAGAACGGTTGCAGGAATTGGGTATGTCTAGTATAATCAAGGCCATGGCTTTCCCAGTTGCAATGTATGGCTGTGAAAGTTGGACCAAAAGAAAGGCCGAGCGCCAAAGAATGGAGGCCTTTGAACTCTGGTGCTGGAGAGGACTCCTGCGAGTCCCCTGGACTGCAAGGCGATCAAACCGGTCAGTCCTAGAGGAGATGAACCCTGACTGCTCTTTAGAAGGCCAGATCCTGAAGTTGAAACTCAAGTCCTTTGACCACCTAATGAGAAGGAAGGACTCATTGGAGAAGGGCCTAATGCTGGGAAAGATGGAGGGCAAGAGAAGAACGGGACGACAGAGAATGAGGCGGCTGGATGGAGTCACTGAAGCAGTAGGCGGGAGCTTCAATGGACTCCAGAAGATGGTAGAGGACAGGAAGGCCTGGAGGAACGTTGTCCATGGGGTCGTGATGGGTTGGACACGACTTTGCAACTAACAACAACAAACCTTTAATCCAGAGATGATAGGATAAAAGGTAGTTTTCATGTTAAGCTGTGTTGGGCTTCAATGTTGACTGAGGTCTAGGAAACAGATTTCCAGATGTTTTGCCAGCAACTGTGTCTGCAAACATCACAGGAAACTGACTAGGCTACTTACTGTCTTTAGAGCCAAGTGTCTTGAACTCTGTTTTCTATATCAGGGGTCCCCAATCCCTGGTCTGTGGACCGGTACCGTGCGGCGGCATGCCAGCAACCGGTCCGCACGAACAAACAAAGCCCCATCCATGGGATAAAGGTGGCACACAAAACCACGCACTCTCCGATCCGTGGAAAAAGCTTTCTCCACGGAACCGGTCCCTGGTCCCCAAAAGGTTGGGGGTCATGGTCACTAAGCCCTGAAGCCCAGCACGTACTAGCCATTAAAGCACTTTATGATAGCTTTAATCTTAGACATTCTCCCATCAATTAGCTCAACAACGAGGGCAAGAATATGGAATAGCTGCTTTATTTTAATTCTAGCGTGTTTGCAGGTACTTTAACTTTTTTCTTTTTGCAGATGTTTCATTATCCAACTAGGTAATATCATCAGCATAAGTTAAGTGTGCTTCCTATTTAATGAATAGGCAGGAGAAGCTATAGAAACAGAGAGAAAACCCCATACTTACACAAGCCAAGTCAACCTTGAGCTGGTCAGAAACAAACTGCTGACAGTCGGCAGAATTAGCCTGCAATACTTCATTCTAACCTCTGCGCCACCAAGACTCTTCTTCTCTGTTACCTAGTTAGATAACAAAACATCTGCAAATAACCGAATTCAGAGAGCACCAGGACCTCCGTAGTTCAATGCTGAGCCGTGGAGATTCTCTTATTTTGGAATATATAATGCTTATGATTCCAGTATGTGCATTTAGCTCTCTTCCGTGAAACCACAGTTCTTATATGTATTTTTATGTTAACAGGGAATGAAAATCACTGGGTCTTCACAGCTTGGTAAGCCAGCTAAGAGCTTAAAGAACACAATTCTCTAATCAAATTCAATTCAGACTGTTGTGGGTTGGGAATTGTGTTAACTACAGAACTATATGAAATCAACTCGGGTGCATAAATAGAGAGCATTTCCACTTATACGTGGAAAGGAAAACTACTGTTACTAATTGTTAAGCCTTTACTGGGTGAACCTCTAGGAAGTGTGAATGGAAGCTAAAGAAATATTGCCTGAGCAGTGCAATTACTTATGTTGGTTTGATTAGGAATCTGGGTTATAAACAGTAAACTGCCTGTAAGGGGCATAGAGTTAGATTGTGATAGGCCAATGAAGAGGGTGAGTGAATGTTTACAATTTATTTTACCACCCAACTCCAAATGACTCTTGGCAGCTCACAATATATTACCATAAATATCCAATATAGACCAAAGCAAGATAAAATTCAGTTACTGTATATTAAAAAGTAATAATAATAACAATATATCCAACAACCCCCCCCCCCCCCAAACTAAACCCAAGGTTTGGGGAAAACAACCAGGACATAGTAAAGGAGTAGAAACTAGTCAAATTAATTTCCATTTGGTTTAGTTTCTCCATTTTCTAGTTTTTCTTTTTTTTTCTGCAGAAGCTTGCAATTTTACAATATTCCACTCAGTTTTAACTCATTAAACAATACTTTTTCCTAAACGGCTTATTCTTGAAATCACTTTTCCCAGAATGTTTTAAAATGCATCACAAAAAATTGAGGCCAAGAATCCTTGCAAATGAGTTTACTTATTTCATTAAAGTGCACATTTGGTAAGTCTGTACTAAACTACAGGCTAAAGAAAAAAAAACAACTCTTAGGTCAGGGGTGTTAAACTGCCAGCCCGCGGGCCGGATGCATCATGCCGAAACCGCGCCCACCGCATTGCCGGCAATGCAAAAAAAAAGTCACAATACATCACGTCATGTGACATTGCGAGTTTGACACCCCTGCTCTAGGTTGTCATTTTATGATACCAAAGAACTGAAACTCAAATTCCAAAAGAATAAGAAAAAAGAACCGGGAAAAACTGAAAGATTAAATCTCCCACGCTCAGATTAATAGCTTTCACTCAGATTTCCTATTGTATTTTAGAAGGCTTTGCTGTGCATTACTCATTCCTGGCTACTGGTTTACTCGTTGTTTACAGAATAACAAAAGTTGAAAGGGACCTTGGAGATGTTTTAGTCCAACCCCCTATTTTTTTTATGAAAACTTACGTTGACAAATAGAACATTACGTTCGTTCGAGGTAGCTATGAGATCTAATTAATATTTTTTTTTAAAAAAAAAAGATGAGTGCAATGCTGTAGGACAGTGGTTCTCAACCTTTTCTCCAGTACGGACCCCCTTTAAATACCTTTTGTGGCCAAGGAACATGGCCACGGACCCCCAAAACTTAAGATTTAAATCAGTTTTGCAAAATTGGTAGCTGACTTCCATAGGTGCGGCGGGAAATGATGCTCCTTTGTTTGCAGAAGCTCTGCGTATTTTATGGCTTCTGGTGTGAGATTACAGGAGGTGCTTGAAAATGCTTAGCTTTCATTAACCAGAATTTTCCTTGATAAGGAAGTGTTTTTGCAACCTAAGGGATACATTTTTCAAATTTTACTACCCTGCTTACTAGTAAAATGTTTGTTTTTTTTTAATGTAAGAAAATTTTGCTTGCATGCAAGCGAGATATTAAAGTCTAGATCGCTGCAATGTCTGGAATGGTAGATCCACGACTCTAGATCTTAACGGTTCGACTTTGAAAACTTGCCCCTTATTAATGGTTTCTTTTCTTACAGATAACTCAGAGCTGGGAGACAAATCTCCAGCTGATGTAATACCTCAACCATCTTCTGCCAATCTAACTCCTAAAGGACAGCCCTCGCCAGACATTGCAGTTGAGGCGACGGATATTGGTAAAGTGCTGATTACTATTCTGCCTGAATTTTTAACCCCTGGAGAAAAAAGTTAATACCACTTTACAAGGCCTTGGTAAGGCCACACTTGGAATACTGCATCCAGTTTTGGTCACCGCGATGTAAAAAAGATGTTGAGACTCTAGAAAGAGTGCAGAGAAGAGCAACAAAGATGATTAGGGGACTGGAGGCTAAAACACATAAGGAAAGGCTGCTGGAATTGGATATGTCTAGTTTAATGAAGAGAAGGATGAGGGGGGACATGATAGCAGTCTTCCAGTATCTCAGGGGCTGCCCCAAAGAAGAGGGAGTCAAGCTATTTTCCAAAATCCCTGAAGGCAGGACAAGAAGCAACGGATGGAAACTAATCAAGGAGAGAAGCAACCTAGAACTAAGGAGAAACTTCCTGACAGTGAGAACAATTAACCAGTGGAACAACCTGCCACCAGAAGCGGTGAATGCTCCAACACTGGAAGTTTTTAAGAAGAGACTGGACAGCCATTTGTCAGAAATGGTATAGGGTTTCCTGCCTGAGCAGGGGGTTGGACTAGATTACCTTCAAGGTTCCTTCCAACTTTACTACTACTACTACTACTATTATTACTACTATTATTATATAGCATTAACCGTATTTGTGTCCATTGCACCAGAGGTCCCCAACCTCTGGGCTACCGTGCTGTGGCCACTCGGCTGCATGAGTGGCTGGCCAGTGCACACGCGCATGTGCGTGCGCTCATCTCATCCTAGCGTTAGCCGAGCCGCGAGCCTCTCGTTGGCTGAGCTGCGAGCCGCGAGCCTCTCGCTGGCGCTAGCTGAGCTGCGAGCAACAAGCCTCTCGCCAGCACTGGGCAAGCCACAAGCCTCTCACCGGCGCAAGCAGCCCCATTTGCGGAGCGCGCATGCTCACAGCCGTTTGTGCGCACACGCATGTAGCCACATTTGCGTGTGTGCGCCTCACGATGGCCCCTCGGATTGTATGTTCGTGGGGATGGGGGGACCAAGTAAGCATAAGATAACTAAATTTACAGATTTTTAGAAGATTATTGTTAGGCAGGATTTAAAGCAGGAATGATTGGGGAATCGGTAACGGTAGGGGAAAATATTTTAGTTTTAGGTTTCCCTCCCATCAGAAATAAAGTGAAATTAACCTGGTTGTGGCAGAACATTCGCTTAATTTTAGAAATCAAGTGTCTTCATATTTTCCAAATAGTAAATGTACTTTTTTTTTCTTCACGTGACCTTATTATAGTTTTGAAGCTACTCTGTCCTGTAGACATTTGTGACAAAAATGCTCCTCAGTGTGAATTTTGGTTGGATTTACTTACTTTCCGATAGAGAAGCCACCCACCTTAAGTTTCTAAGTGAACGGATGTGTTGGTTTATGCTGCTTCCGTTCCTTTGATCTTTGGGTTGTTTCACGAGGTCTCCCACACCTCCTATTGTGGCTCTTTGAAAATTACACTGTCACAGTAGCAGCATGTGCTAAATTGGCTACACTAGTGAAAAGTTGTGTACGTTTCGCTAAGCATATATCAGTGATGGCAAACCTTTTAGAGACCGAGTGCCCAAACTGCAACCCATAACCCACTTAAGTATCGCCGGGTGCCCGGTGGGTGTGGCCCACTCGGCGGGTGCAGCTACAGTGGGATTGGCATACTGGGTGGGCGTGGCCACTGGATGGGTGTGGCTGCAGTAGTCATGGCCGATTGGGTGGGCATGACCGGTGTGGGCGTGGCCACCTTGATGTTGTTTATGGGGAGGGACACCTGTGGGAGCCGGGCAGGGTTGGGGGAGATCCAGGGGGGGGTCTCTGGCGGGTGGGATGGTGGGCTCCCCAATGGCGGCTCCAGGCTGGCCTTAGGCCAGTGATGGCGAACTTTTAGACACGTGTGCTGGGGCGATGGCGTGTGCCCACAGAGAGGGCTCTGCGTGCCGCCTCTGGCACGCGTGTCATAGGTTCGCCACCACTGGCATATATTGTTAGTGAGGTGCTTTCTTTTAATGGATTTGTTCTCCTTTAGGGTTTGGTAGCCGCTGTGGAAAACCAAAAGGACCAAGAGATCCTCCTTCAGAATGGACATGATGCGAGAACGAATGGACACATAATTAAATTATACTGGAAAATTCAAGTGCCACTGAACAAGATCCATAGTATTCCAACGCTTTATTTTTTTTTTGGAACTATCAGTGTACATATAGCTACACAATGGTACACTTTTGTATACATCTACACAAATATTAAAGATTCAAAATGGTGGATTCTATACTTCAAACTTAACTTTTTTGCTGGGGCCATCAATCTGCCTTATTACATTTTTTTTTAAAAAAAAGTATTACTTATGGTTTGTTACTTCAAGTATTATTGCCTTAATGTCTTTTAAACCTGTTAAAACACTGTTTATAGACATGTTAATATGGTGAAACTTTTTGACAAATTGAGTTTATGGACAATTTTTTTTTTTGGCAAATGTTTGATTACCATGTACATTTTATTTTGTGTATGTATAGGGCAAGCCAGGTATATAATTTGATAAAGCTGCAATCATAAAGTATTAACAGAAGGTGTAAGAAATCTCTGCATGAACTAAAGTTGTGTACCTTGTAAATTATTTGCCCTAATGTTTTAGAAAATAGTTTTTTTTTTAAAAAAAAGAAAATGTTGGGTGCACATTCAGAATTACAGAAAAGCAGAGATGAAGATTGTAATACATTTTGTAAATTGTAAGCAAAAGGTTATTTTTATATTATATACTGTTTCAACTGTCAATCCTAATTTGTCCTGGTTTTCATCTAGTCACTGATATTCCGTAAGTGCCTTGAAAGACCAGATTTTTTCGCATGAACAAGTTACCTATAGAGACTAGTGTTATCAACATATTTGAACTGTCAGTAAAAGAATATTTTAAAATCCTTTTAAGTTATCCTTTATATTGTATTTCAATTTAAATCTTTAGAATTTTTGAAAGAAAAGCCTTGGTAAGTATCATCAGGATTAAAATTATAGACTAATAATGCTAGTAAAATATTTCCCCTAAGACAAGTTTTATGTAAAAATTTGAAAGTACCAACATTCTTACTGCATCACTCTTTCTTGACAATCTTCACTGTCAACTTCCCAAAAGGCCTCCTACCACTTTGTTTCAGTTTATAGTAGGGATTCTTCAAGAAATGAATTAATGATTATTCATATGTATTCTAGAAGTAGCATTACTGACTTGGGCTTAAATGTCCTTCTAGTTATAAAATATTTTTGCTCCAAGTCCCTTCCCTGCCCCTTTTTGATTTGCATGCTAGTGGTCACATCCTAAGAATAGCAATTAAAACTAAAGTACCTAAATTGAGTTGACAGTTACTCTTTTCATTATAAGCCCATGGCAATTTCTGAAGGCTGCCAACTCTAAAAAAATAACAATGGTCAAGATTTCTAAAATTGGTACTTGGGTTAGCAAGCCATCCTGTTCCCTTACAAACATTGATTGAACTATTATGTTCAGGCAAATTCTTTAGGAACATGTATAGTTCCTATATGATGGCATTTTCATTTGATTTTTGGTCTGCTATAGTGTAAGACACGCAGTTACTAACCTAATTCAAAGCTAATTATTTTATTGAAATATCCAGATGTGTATGCATGTATCTCTCTTTCATACACAACACACATACACAAAATTGGAATTTTATGGTTTTGCCACTGGAAGGACTGGCTTAAACTGTACTACATAGACAAATATCTGAATTTAAGTGTACTAATACAGGGTGTGCAATATCTTATGTGGCTGGAAGCAGCATTTCAGAAAATCAAGGGGGTGCTTACAATCTGGGTACGGAGGACATATGCTATGACCAAACAATGTAGATTTTTTCCCTCAAGCTAGTGTACTTTTTTTCTTTCTCTCCAGCAAAACCTGGTGGGAGATCATGGTTCCCCTTAATTACAATTTGCTGCTCAAATAGTGCAGCTCTTGTTTCCAGCAACTGATATTTCAGCTGATTGTTGTGAGTTTTTAAAAACAAATTCATTGCTTGCTTGTCTCGGAAAATATATTCTAGAACAGCTCAGAACTGTCACCCAGGTATAGTACATCTGTCATAGTAACATGCTAATTTTATTAGCACTGTCCAAAGTCCAAGTAAAGGTAATTTAGTCTATCTTGAATTTTCCAAGTAAAATTTAAAAATAAACAAACCACTTTTTAGGAATATATTTATAGTGGTGCTTAAAGGTTTGCAAACCCTTTTGAATTTCCATTATTTCTGCCTAAATATGACTTAAAATGTCATCTGTTTTCCCCATAAGTGCTAAAATTGGATAAAGAGAACCTAAACAGTCAAAACCCTTTTTTCCCCATTTGCCTTGAATGCTGAGATAATAGTCTGAAAAACCGTAGTGTTGTTTGCTAAATTTTTATATCGGCACTACAGCTCAGTTTGAAAATATCCACTATTATACTTACAACTCTTTTTAGAATATGAAACATACTAAAAGATAGTATCATGGACATTGTGTGTTTAGAACAATATGCCTTTTCAAAAGCACCAATAGTAAAAATCTCGAGTTTTAATATTAAAATAAAATTACTTCCATATCTATGCCTTCTCATGAATTACAATGTTTATTTTCAAATGCTTCTATGTACTTATTCTAAAACTTATTCTGAGTTTCAAAGATAACCTCAAAATGTTTTTTTAAAAAAGGTTATTTTTAAACAAAACTTTTAAGCATTCTGAGTTCCAATATAACAGAAATATAAATTTAGCTAATACTGTTATCACACCATTAAGATAACTAAAGAATGTGAACTTTTAATCTTGCAACAAAAACCAGGGCAAGTTTTAAAAAAAGGAATAAGAGGAACTTGAACAATCTAGATTGTGAAGGTTGAATAAAATTATATTGAGCAGTTGCAATACCTGCCCTATTATATAAACACAACATCACAAAGCTAATTATAGTTCCTGGAAGAATTTGTGTTGCTGGACCATAAAGTTTATACATAGGATTTCCAATCTTAAATAAGTGGGGTACTTTCAAATGATGCCTTTGGAAATGTGTTGTTTTTGCAACCTGGAGGAAAGTGGTGGTTCAGTACTCACTGCTTGATGTTGAATTTATTAATATGAATACAAATCTTAACAGATTTCACCTGCAGTGAAAGTTTCATAATTCTATCCTATAAAGTTTTACACAGTAATGCAGTTAACAAAAACTTTTGTATTATAGAATGCTAGATTCGTCTGACAGATTTCCAAGAAACAGAAATACTGGAAATGTTCATGTAAATTGTCTTAATTCCCCAGGTCAGGTCTCATTTTTCAGTTAATACTTTTGTTCTGGTAGTATCTTTTGAAAAACTTGTTAAACTAGTTCTTCTGTTTATAAACTAGTTCTTCTGTTTATGTAATACATTTCTATCTAGCTAAAACCTCAGGTTTATAGTTAACTTTTTTGGCCCTTGAAAATTTTCAGTGTATTTTTCACTTTAAACATTTAAAAGTCTTCTAAACCTCAACATTTGGGCTGCTACAGTGGCTTCATCAGGTAATATCCTACCTACCCAAACGCTCAGGTACCATTAATTACCTGGAGATCTCAAGGGACCTCTGCCTGATTGGGTCAGAACCTAATAAGGTGGTGAACATCTATGGCTCTTCCCCCTGGGAAGAAAAGCAAGAACAGGAAGTCATAGAACATAGAATAATAGGGTTGGAAGGGACCTCAGAGGTCTTCTAGTCCAACCCCCTGCTTGAGCAGGAGACCTGGTACCATTTCAGACAAATGATTGTCCAGTCTCTTTTTGAAAGCCTCCAGTCATGGAGCATCCACAACTTCTGAAGGCAAACTATTCCATTGGTTGATTGCTCTCACCGTTAGGACATTTCTCCTTAGTTCTAGGTTACTTCTATCCTTGATTAGTCCTAACTTGGGCCTTCTAGTGGGTGAAGGAGAGGCAAAGGTTAGGTTATGTTGCCCTGGGCCTGGATGGATCTCTCCTGATTTCTACAAACTTGATGTGATCTTCACAGGCAGAAAAGATAAGGCCATAAGATGTGTGGGTAACATATCTAGTGTTACCCTTAAGTTATGTTTGTCACCAATTAGCAATATCACCAGGGTGTCAAAAAAAATAATCCAAGAGGGCAGTTCAGAACATTGCTGAGGCAAGGTATGAAGAAGCTAACCAGGGCTATTGGACAACCATTTGTTTGAAATGATACAGGGCTTCCTGCCTCAGCAGGGGGTTGGACTAGAAGACCTCCAAGGTCCCTCCCAACTCTGTTATTCTGATATTCTACTGACTTAACAGCAGTTGTTAGTCTGGACAGAGGCCAATTCTCAAAGACCAGATATCCTCTATGTCTGAAGAAACAACACAGAGCAAGACTTACTTTGAGGCCTGCTCCAAAAGTTGCAGGTTATTTGGAGAAATTCTGGGTGACCAAGTTCAAAACAATCTCCAGGGCAATAGAGCAACAAGTACACCCCCATTCCCTGCTGCCCCCAAGACAAGCCCTTGATGGAAATGGGCAGGAAGCAAACTCAAACCACAATCTTAATTTAGGGGGCTTCCCCTATCCATAAAAATCTCTCAGTCTCCACACCTTGCCAAGGGAAGCTTTGAAAGGGGAAGTCATTGGAAACCGACCCACAAAGTGCATGATTGAACTTGTTATATAGCATGCAAATTAAAGGGACCTTAAAGATACATAGTAAGTTTCACATATACCAGACTGAACAAACTACATAGTAGCTTGTGCCTGCCAAGATGTCAATGCAATTCTCAATTTCTATAGAACGATTTTGTATTGCAATTCTCAACTTCTATAGAATCATCTTGCATTGCAATTCTCAACTTCTATGAACCATCTTGTATTTTAGAACTATCTTGTATTGCAATTCTCAACTTCTACAGAATCATCTTGCATTGCAATTCTCAACTTCTATGAACCATCTTGTATTTTAGAACTATCTTGTATTGCAATTCTCAACTTCTGTAGAATCATCTTGCATTGCAATTCTCAACTTCTATCGAACCATCTTGTATTTTAAAACTATCTTGTATTGCAATTCTCAACTTCTATGAACCATCTTGTATTTTAGAACTATCTTGTATTGCAATTCTCAACTTCTATGAACCATCTTGTATTTTAGAACTATCTTGTATTGCAATTCTCAACTTCTATAGAATCATCTTGCATTGCAATTCTCAACTTCTATCGAACCATCTTGTATTTTAGAACTATCTTGTATTGCAATTCTCAACTTCTGTAGAACTATCTTGTATTTTAAAACTCTTGTATTTCAATTCTCAACTTCTGTAGAATCATCTTGCATTGCAATTCTCAACTTCTATAGAACCATCTTGTATTTTAGAACTATCTTGTATTGCAATTCTCAACTTCTATAGAACTATCTTGTATTTTAGAACTATCTTGTATTGCAATTCTCAACTTCTGTAGAATCATCTTGCATTGCAATTCTCAACTTCTATAGAACCATCTTGTATTTTAGAGCTATCTTGTATTGCAATTCTCAACTTCTATAGAACTATCTTGTATTTTAAAACTCTTGTATTTCAATTCTCAACTTCATCATCATCATGTAGAATCATCATCATGTAGAATCATCTTGCATTGCAATTCTCAACTTCTATAGAACCATCTTGTATTTTAGAACTATCTTGTATTGCAATTCTCAACTTCTATAGAACTATCTTGTACTGCAATTCTCAACTTCTATAGAACTATCTTGTATTTTAAAACTCTTGTATTTCAATTCTCAACTTGTAGAACCATCTTGTACTGCAATTCTCAGCTTCTACAAAACGATCTAGTACTGCAATTCTCAATTTCTATAGTACGATCTTGTATTTTAGAACCATCTTGTATTGCAATTCTCAATTTCTACAGAACGATCTTATATTTTAGACTCGAGCCATCTTCCATAGCAATTCTCGATTTCCACAGGAATCCTCTCAATACTCCGCGGCTTATGAGGAGTTTGCACAGCAGCCTCGGCTAGCTACGCCCCTTCCAAAGACCGACGGAAGCAAGAACATCTCTTTTCTCTCCTATTCCCACGTTGACTTAACGCTCTCCTTAAAACAAGGTTACGCGGGCCCGGATCTTTTTCGCCGTAAGCCGCGAGGCGCCTTTACAAGCCGGCTCCGCGGTTCGGTTCTCCTCGGGGGGCTTCGCAGGCCGCCCGTCTTCCGCAACCCGAGGCCGACCGAAAGCAAAGACGGGCCCGGCGTCGCGTGGATCTTCCCACCGAAAAACCAGCTTCGCCGGCGGAAGAGTTTATTCGCTTTTGCAGACGGAAGCTGCCCCCGAGCATTTCCCCTCGTTCTCCCAGGTTCCTTCCCGCAGGCCGGCCTTGGAGCCTCTACTCCGCGCTCCCGGCTTGCCGGGCCTTTCCGGGGCGGGTCGCCGCCGCCGCCGCCGTTTCTCCCGGCTGAGGCACCATCTTCGCCCAGGCGCCTCTTCAAGATGGCCGCCGCTGGCGGTTGGGGATGGGGGCTCTGAGGAGGGAGCTTCTCCCGCCGGGGGTCCTCCTCGGCGGGGAAAGGGAGCCACGCCACCTCGCCTCAGCTCCGGCCAGGCCTCCCTCCGCTTCCCCGCGTCCCGCCGGCCAGAGCCCCGGAGCCTCGCCCGCGCTTCTCCCCGCTTCCCCTCACAGATGGCGCCTCAGCGCCGACAACCGCGCTTTCTCTCCCTCCGTCCCTCCCTCCGCCATTGGCGGCGCGGGGTGTCTCTCCGAAGCGGGCCGCGCTCCTATTGGGCGCCGAAAGTGGCGCTGGCCACGTTCGGCCCGCCTCCCCGCCCCGCCCCTCCCGGCTCTCTCCAGCGACGGGCGCTGTGAGGTAAATAGAAGCGGATCGCAAAATGGCGGAGCTGCCCAGTCCCGTGCGAGGGGCGACGGTGGCGGCGGCGCCGCCGCCTTTGCCGCCCTCGGCTCTGGCCGTCGACGCCCGCGTCTCCCCGCGCGGGCTCCAGCCGCCGGCCGCCAAGCGCCTCAAGGGGGACGAGCGCGCCTTCAAGGCGGCCAAGCGCCTCAACGGCGAGGGCCACAGGCAGCCGCCGCCTCCGCCGCCTCACATCCCCGTGGCGTCTTCCCCGGCAGGCCCCGCCGTGTGGAGCCTGGCCGCCTTCTCCTCAGGCGGTGGAAGCGGCGGCGGCGGCCCGGCGAGCGGCGGCTCCTTCGTCTTCCAGCCCCAGCTGCCCGCCAAGTTGCTCCTGCCGCCGCCGCCGCCGCCGCCCCTCTGCCTGGCCGGCGTGGAAGGGCCCGGCGGGGCCAAGAGCAAGCGGCCCAAGGAGAAGCGCGAGAAGGAGAGGCGGAGAGCCGGGGCCCTGGCCGGCACCGCGGCGTCCCCGGGAAGCGGCCGGGAGGAGAACGGCGGCGACCTGAAGATGCTCCTCCAGCAGCAGCAGCAGCAGCAGCAGCGCCACCATCGGCACCACCATCGCCCGGGAGGTGAGGACCCCTGCCCCGCAGAGAGAGAGAGAGAGGGGGAAGGGGAGGTGGCGGGGCTGGAAAATGGCCTTCCGCTTTGGGGAATTGGGGGGGGAGGAGGAAAGGGGGCGTCTGCCATTGCAGGGAAGAGGTTGGGGGGGGGGGCCTGGCTGGGCCCCCCTCTCTTGTTGGGCCGTTTAGTGGGGTCCCCGCCTGGGAATGGGGGGAGCTGTCGGGGGGTCCCCTTTGCAGAGGAGGCGAGGAGGCAAAAAGGGGGTGTGGGAGGCTGCCTTGCGTGGCAGCCGCCCTGGTGGGCCGGGTGGGGGGGTATGTGACACGTCCGAATAGGATAGAAAAGAATAAGGATAGAGTAAGGATATAGGATAGGATAGAATAGAATAAGGATAGAATAAGGATATAGGATAGGATAGAATAGAATAAGGATAGAATAAGGATACAGGATAGAAAAGAATAAGGATAGAGTAAGGATATAGGATAGAATAGAATAAGGATAGAATAAGGATATAGGATAGGATAGGATAGAATAAGGATATAGGATAGAAAAGAATAAGGATAGAATAAGGATATAGGATAGGATAGAATAGAATAAGGCTAGAATAAGGATATAGGATAGAATAGAATAAGGATAGAATAATGATATAGGATAGGATAGGATAGAATAAGGATAGAATAAGGATATAGGATAGAAAAGAATAAGGATAGAATAAGGATATAGGATAGAATAGAATAAGGATATAGGATAGGATAGAATAAGGATAGAATAAGGATATAGGATAGAAAAGAATAAGGATAGAATAAGGATATAGGATAGGATAGAATAGAATAAGGATAGAATAAGGATATAGGATAGGATAGAATAGAATAAGGATATAGGATAGAATAAGGATATAGAATAGACTAGAATAAGGATAGAATAGAATAAGGAAATAGAATAGAATAGAATAATAACTTTAGTGTCATTTTAAATGTACACTAATCTGCATGTTGGACCATAAGAAAGGCTGAGCGCCAAAGAATGGAGGCCTTTGAACTCTGGTGCTGGAGAAGACGCCTGCGAGTCCCCTGGACTGCAAGGCGATCCAACCGGTCAGTCCTAGAGGAGATCAACCCCGACTGCTCCTTAGAAGGCCAGATCCTGAAGTTGAAACTCAAACACTTTGGCCACCTAATGAGAAGGAAGGATTCACTGGAGAAGAGCCTAATGCTGGGAAAGATGGAGGGCAAGAGAAGAAGGGGAGGACAGAGAATGAGGTGGCTGGATGGAGTCACTGAAGCAGTAGATGTGAGCTTCAATGGACTCCAGAAGATGGTAGAGGACAGGAAGGCCTGGAGGAACGTTGTCCATAGGATCGCGATGGGTCGGACACGACTTCGCAACTAACAATAACAAGAAGAATAAGGATAGAATAGAATAAGAACTTTAGTGTCATTTTAAATGTACACTAATCTGCATACATTAAAATGAGATTTCATTGCATACAGCTCGCAAAGGATACCCCCCCATATACACTTCATAAACATGCCCCCCCAAATTATGCATATACCCACATCTGGGGTAACTTCTGCCCCTTCTGCATGGAGAGCCTCATGGTGAGATATGCAGCCAATAAGTCTACCAAATAAATAGCAAATATTAGAGTGCCAGGGAAGCATATGTCTATGGGGAATCTCCCATTATCCCCATCAACCTATCTAATTGGTAAAACCCAAAATCAAAGTTTTATTCCCCCCCCCACCTTCAAGTCCAGTTGTCTTTTTGGGAAAAAGCACCTTTGAGACATGGAAACCTATGGACAGCCATGTCCCCTAATTATGCACTGGATGCTTCTGGGTTTAAAATACTATTTCTAGTGAGCAAGAAAGGAATGACTTGTGTTTCTTTATATAAGACACTTTAGCAACATCAAGTTTTTAAAAAGTGATTCTTTGCTATCCGAGTCCACAGTGGTTTTGACATTCTAATGGGGGCGTTTCTACAGAAGCTGGAAAGAATGAACTTGAAATTCGGTGCTGGCAGGATGTAGGTATGTGAGAGAGGATGTAAAAGCCTTAAATTTGGGGAGGTTTTTGTTCAGAATTAAGATCTACTGATCTACTCGTGAGGCCGGTGTGATGTGCAATTAGCTCATAGGGTGTAATAATTTGGGGGTTTGTAGTCACTGTGAGTTGCATTGGGGGGGGCACGGAGGGAGGCTCGGCCAATCTCACTGTATACATGTTATACTTTGATAATAAAGGTTCATTCAATCAATATACAGGTCCTGGTTGTTAAATAAGTCTGAAGCTAGCTGGTGTTATCTTGAATAACTGCTACAAATTTACCTTCAATATGGATGCAACTTTTTTTGTCACCACTGTAGCTTAAGGAATTTGGGCAATCCAACTGAACATTGCATCAACCTCAGAGGAAAAGAAACAAGATCTGGTACTTGAAGTTTGAAAGTTAAAAAAACATAAGTGCTATAAAAAATGGACCCTGTAATGTAATCTTAAATAACATGCATGCTCTTTTCTGTTTAAGTGGCAAAATTTCCAAGAACATCACATGGATTCCCATACTCAATTATTGTTGAACAGAAAAGGAATTGAACTTTGTTTAAGTTGATACCAACTGATTTATGCAGGTGTAAGCCAGGATTTTAATGGCAGCCATTTTAGCTGGAATAAAAAAATGGGCAGTGTTTTCAAATGTACCAGTTTTTAACATGCTAGGAGGTCTTGAAATTCTGTACTTAAATTTTTGAATTTCCATCCAAGTATTTCTCATAACTTTTCAGTATGATTTGGAAAGAAGTAATCAAAATAGCTGCTTTTGCTAAAGACTATTCTAAGGAGAACTTATTTTATTAGACCCTCATGGTATTTATCAGTGAAACATCTAGTATGAAAGGATGAAATAAGTGTTGACTAATAACCATGTATACTATATTTGTATGTCTGTATAGTTTATCTAAGATTAATTAACATGACCTATCCACTGTTCATCTTGCTCTTAAAGCCTTTGTTTTTCAAACCCAGCTTTATGGTAGAAGGGACGGGAAGGTAAGGTTTCCTTCAGGAAAAAAAAATTGCTTTAAAGAGCAGCAAAATAATGTGAGGAAGAAACCCACATGTTTCTTTCAAGAAAACAGTGAATATTGCTTTATTGGTGAAATAAATAGATATGGGAGAAGAAACATGGTTCTCCTGTCAACATCTGGTTTGGCTCAGTAAAACTACTTACGAAATCAAGTTGGAATTAAAAATGAAATTTAACTTTAATAGTCAACAATAAAACACTTCTCTAACCTTTCTAGAATGCTATTAATATTTTTAGGCTTATAGAAATCTAATCTGAATACAACAAATCTGCTGGCTGCTTGAATCATTAGTGTTCTTTTGCATCTAGTAATGTTCAAAGCCGTTTGGAAGTTTTAGCTTTAAGAAGTGAGTGTTTACAAAGCTCGCAAGGTAAGGTAAGGAGGTAAGGATACAATCACTGGAGCAATTCAAAGGAATAAAACAGACCTGTCACCTGACTAGTTTTCTTTTAGGTAAATTGAAAAATAATGTAATGGTAAACAGGTTTTGGGCTGTTCAGTTTCTATCAGTTTTTGGCAGTGCCTGTCTTCATAGCACAGGGCTCACTAGAAGCTGCAGCTTCTAGTTTCCTTGACTGGATCTCACAACGTGGAGGGTCTCTTTCTCACAGCATCTTTCTAGTGCTTGCATGGCCAACCTCGAGGCCTCTTCCCCAGCTGTAGTACACTAGAGAGCAATTAGAAAGGCATATGACAGCCACCCATTGTGATAATGCACCCACCCCATTTCATCTGAGCTCTGATAATCAAGGACTGAACGCTGGTGGATTCCACACGATCCGAGATCCTCACG